GAATTAAAATTGTTCAGCAGAACTTTGGCATGGGTATTTGGTTAGTTATTTCAACCTCTAAACTCTTTAGCCTTAAAGGTTCAAGTAAGTTCATGTTCAAAGGATCTCTTAAAAATACACAGCTAAAAGTTAAAAGACTAGTTGGAGATTCCAATTTCTAAGGATTATTTCCTGTTTACTTTTCATACCAGCTAGCCGAACTCTCACATTTCATCTTGGAGGCAGGACTCAACTGTCTGCAGAGGACATAGTTTGTTTCTTTACACTCAAATAGGCAAACTCAAGATAGACTCCTGACTCTGGTAAAAAGGTAGAGCAATAAACGTGAGGTAGAGAAAGCTGTCCTGGGAGAGGGATGCAGATTGGAGCACAAGGAACTTCTTTGTTTGACAGCATAGGAATCAAAACACTGAAACAGCCGTGGTATTTTGGGTATTATCCAAAACAGCAGAGTTGCTAGTGAGAAAATGAAAACTGATATATTTCAGTTGGACAGTTTGTACCTCTTATGCTACATTCATGCACAACAATCAAAAGGCAAGAATCTGGAGTCCTTACTCGGCCTTGCTTCTCATCAAAATAGGGGGTTTACACCGCTTATGAAATAAGAAACATTTTTGCTGTTGCTTTTAAAGACAGATTACATTCAGCCATGGTTCACAGGAAGGAAGATGGAAAAAAATAATAAGGGCGTTCGTTAAGACATTGACCTTTCTAAAAGGGCTGTAAGGGCTTGAGAAATGTCCAGAAAAGAAGTTCTCCCCAACACACTTTATCATTATCAATGGCAGATTTTCCCATATGCTGTCCTGCTTGCACCCTTCATGTTGCCACTGGCATACTCCTTCTCCAGCTACTATGTAGAAACTATTCCAGACTGAGAAGAACATCTATCTGTGCATACCCAGTGATTACTTATGGTCACATAGCTTTATGTGCAAATAAAAGAGGGTAACTGTAAAACCAGTGTGTACATTCAGTAGTAGGGTAGAGCATTTCTGTTGGTACACTAAAAAGAAATCTGCCTTTAAAGAGGAAGAGTACGTGTATTTTTTGCAATATAGATTCTAATCAAAACATGTTTTACACAAATGTCTTCGTTAGTAAAAATGAGATTGTCTATATGTGAATCGTCTGCAAACATGTTTTTCAAAGTATTCCCTGAACTGTCAGACAGCCTTCAGGGACTACAGGAAAAACACAATAATATGGCAAATGTTATAAATCCCCAGAATAACTCTTATCCCATTTATGTTTTGATTCTGCCATCACTATCCATCTATCCTTATCCTGAGGCAGTAACAAAATACAAGACTTGCTTCAAGTAGGGAAGAGTGAGCACAGTTCTCTGAAAGTTATAGTTAACGTAAACAGAACCCAGACTGCCATCAGTGCATTAAATGTTATGCTGACTTTAATCCAAACCCACACTCCTATAACTCTTTTGGAGTTTGTCTTCCAGTACAGCTATGGAGAGTAACCGGGACACATAGCAAAGCAACAAAACTGGCAAATTTTAGGTATTCTTACTTGGACACAGTGCAATCAGTATGGGGAAAAGCGGTGAAGGCTCAGTTTACAAAGGGTACATTTTTCAAAAGTGTCTGAGTCACACATGGGCCTCAAGGTAAATTTTTCATCATGTCCACATGATTCAGGAATCCTGTTTTCCAAAACCCTGAAGGTTGTGCAAGCACAAAGATGTGAGAAGGTTTCACATGTGACTCTACTATGCCAGCAGAAGTTTATTTTTAATAGTGTTTATTCAGAAATAGTAATGCTGCCTTATCTTACTTGAATATTATTTTTCCAAGGCTCTTAGCACAAGGCCAGCAAAAATCACTGATCGAAAAAAATAAAACCCCTTTAAAAATTGTATCTGCAGTTGCTCATTGGCATCAACCTACAATATCAATTCTATACTTCAGAGTCCTTGACTATCCATCTGACTTTCTACTATTAGGAGAAAAATTTAATGACTCTCATTTTCTCAGAAAATGTCATTTCAGTCATCTGTTTTTAAGAAGATCACAAAATTAAGAAGACAAACAAGACTGGGAAATAGAAATCAATACATGCAAATATTTTTGCAGTTTATATATGTAATTTTTACTTGTTAGGGTCAGAGGTTTATCTGGTTATGGTTAAAACTGGAGATACAGACTTTGCCTATAGAGGGTTGTTTAATCCACCAAGCAAATGGATGCAGAATGCATATATGGACAGATCAGGAAAATGTGGCTGAAGTCAATGTATAAAGGGAAATAAAGGAGCAAGATGTCTGGCAGGCCAACCTAGTGCAGGGGATATCACTGAAGACAGAGCTTGGTATTTACTGGGTGGGGAGGTTGGCGGGAATGAGGATGAGATGGGCAGGCAGAGAAGAGACAGGCAGCTGTGCAGCACAGCTCTTCCCTTGTGTCAACAAGCTTGCCAGTCTAGGAGAAGACTGACCTGTCTGTGCACAGCACACTGAATGAAAAAACTCCTTTGTCTCCTCTACAGCTTGGTTCTGCCTATTTTTCTGTCATGAAGGACACTACATGATGTTAAATTATACATAAATATCAAGGAGGACTTATTGTCAGAAATGAAAAGCTAATCATTCAGTAACATGATTTAGTGGATACTTATAATCAAAACAAAGAATTAACCACCAGTGTTTGAACAATTCAAACTGTGCTTTCTGTATGAGTTCATCTCCACTCACAAAGAATAATAGAGGCTTAACAAAATGTTCTCCTTCCTGGGGCAAGGGGAATGTAATATTTATCTGCAGTAGTTTCCAGGGGGACATTACACGCCACAATCAATCATCTCATAAAATATTATGAAGTAAAGTGGTGGCAATTTAGATAATAACATGGAAAACTAAGTTACAACAAGAAACAAAAAGCTAACCAAATTAGGAAGTTCCCAGTTTCATCAGCTGAAAGGGTTACCAAAACTCACATCTTGAATTCTGTCAACTTTATTGCAATCTTTTCTTCACTTTTTTAAAGCTACGGAGGTGCATTGAATAGAGTCCATAGTTAGGCATGAAACTACAGCAAACTTAAAATGGACACAGATTCTTTATTTTCTTTCAAAACAGACTATTAATTCTGAAGCCTCTTGAGTCCTCTGTGTGGCAATACTCTGACAACTTTTCAGACATTTCTAATAAAGAATTCATCTCTGAATGAAACCTGGGGAATGGTAGTTCTGCCTTTTTGCTTTTATACTTCTTCGGTCTTAAATGTCTCATGTCCATTTACTTAAGAACATAATATTGGGAAACATGGGAAAAATCTTTCAATGAGGAGACGGATTGCTACAGAAAACACATGGAAGCAACCCACAATGGCAATGACATTGGAACTGAAATGTTACACCACTTATTCACTGTACCTCTGCTTTTGTACCTAGAAGCACACATTCTTTTTTTTGACAACGAACATAAATTTAACTTGGCATATCGAGGGTGCCACTCACTATAAAAGATAAGTTTTCTATTCATGCCCTTTACGGAGGGGTAAATACATCAAATTGCCACACCAAAATATCTCTTCTAGTACTGCAGAAAAATGCTTTCCTGAACAAACAAAACTCAAACACACATATACACAAAAACTGGGATTGGCAAAGTTCTCAGGTTTTCCTTTTAGAAAAGGAATCTTTCTACAAGGATCAGAGATCCTTTGGCTTCCACAAGTCTGGTAACTCAACATATACACACATCTAAGATTTCTTGTGGTCTGAAATTAAATTCAAATATTAGAATACAGGACTGATTTTAACTGTGAATTTGTTCAATATAGTTCATCTCCCTATAAGGAACACAACAGCAGCTTTACTTCATTGACACGGAAAGTTCCCCCAGGGTCTGCTGAGAGGAGCATTACTGCAGCAGTAGGAATTGAGCATCGAGGAGACAGTCAGTCCCATGCTATGGTCATTGCCTGGTGAGGAGAAACTGAAGAACTTGTCTCCAAAGAGTTGAGGGTTGTGGAAGGGGGCTTCAAATTCGGATGAGAGTCCTGTGCTACTAAATGGATATGTAGTGTGATTGTATCCACATTGTTGTACAACTAACTCCCACCAGAAGTTACTCTATTGTGAAGTCAAAACACTTGAACACAAATCTGAATAACAAACAATCCTAACCTACAGAACTTCATTTTAGTTGTACTCTCCTTGTATAAATCAATGTATTGATGCTCATGTGGAGTATACATTTAAATTTTGATTAATGACACTGTTAAGTGGATCCACACCTGAGAAACTGATCAAAGGTAGGAAATGGAACTAAAACAATCTGTATATAGCGGAATTCGATATGGTGTTTTCTCCTGCTATATCGCTAATATTTAGGCAAAGTATATCAAAACACTTCCATGAGGTAAACAAAAAATCAGCTGCACTATTTCTAACGAATGTTGGTTAGAAGCATAATGCAGCTTTAAGTAGTAGTTCTAAATTGATAAAGGTGACAATTTACCCAGGGAAAAAAAAAACAAAAACCAAACAACCCAGAATAAAAACTTGACTAGTCAAATCATAAAGCAGATTTAGATTTGGCAGAGACTCTCTAAGACAGTTGTCCTTCACCCTTATCCACTATGTTGAAATGCATTAGTGAGGCACTGAGGATCCTTTATATGAAACTACACAGGATTTTTTGATGGATAAGCTTGTAAGGGAACAGTAATGTGTTGATCCTGACAATTCAAAGTATGCAGG